TTGCGGTTAGAGGCCAGTGCTGTGGCTTTGCGGTTAGAGGCCAGTGCTGTGGCTTTGCGGTTAGAGGCTAGTGGCTCTGCTCTAGGCTTATATAACCTGGCTCGGACTTCACCATGCGCTCAGGGAGCCGTGACGATGTCGGGGAGATGTGGTAGGTGAGAGCAGGTAATACAAGGAGTCTGAACAGCAGGACAGAGCACAGCTGATGTACCACGGCCTTGAACAAGGGGGAGGAGGGAGGAGGGAAGCAGGAAACTGGACACTGAGTGAAAGAATACAAAATAGAGGGGAAAGCATGGCTCCCATTCCCACCTCGGGCATCGATTGCTTTCTCTGACACCCGTGCTGGGTTGGGGGGGCGGGGGCGCAGGGGGGAGACCTGCATTATTTATTTGCCCAGGCAACACTTTCATCTAGTGAGATTTCCGTAGCTTACGGCGCTGCCGCCTTCCCCTTGAAGAGCGTGGGATTTGTTACGGGGGAAACACGGGTTAGGATCCCTCCTGGGACTCGAACACACAACCTTGCTGGTCGTCGGGCCCCTGAAAGCCAAAACAAGAGCACAATGAAGGTGAGGTCGCGTGTCATCAGGCAGCCCATGGCCATTGGCCGAGGTGGGGGTTTGTTAAAGCGAGGCGCTTTGGAGCACGACCCGTCCAGCACCCGGCAGCCTGTCAGAGCCAGCATCGTGTCGCGTTTTATCGTGCAGGATGTGACTGAGCCCTCTCTCTTTGTTCTCTCTCTGAACATGTTCAAAACGCTGGCTGGCTGGCTAACACCGCCCCCCCCCCCCATGTCTTTTTTTGCAGAGTCGTGTACCAAGATGGCTTCTACGGGGCAGAAATTTACGTAAGTGCCCCCGTTCGTCACGAAAGCCCATGCGGGACGTGTTGCTTCCTGTGTGGCCTCATGGCATCAGCACCAATCGCCTCTGAGTAAACGCCACTTCGGCAGCCGTGTGTTTTTAATTAGCGTTTAATAAAAAAGGGGCCTGGCACCTGTGCCTCCCCCACCAAACTGCCCGTGCCTCGGGTTTTGGCGCCCTTTGCCACCGGCCGGGATTGGTCGGGTCTCGTCCCTGCGTGGTGCTCTGCTATTAGCCTTGGCATGGGTTCATCTATGACCTCAGCCCGAGTGCGTCCGAGGGGACTGTCAGCTTGCCAGCGTTCGACTCCGCCGCCCTCTTTGTCCTCCTGAATCGGCTGACAGAGCCCGCTTCGCCGCCGCCCGCTGCTGCCCGCTGCCGCCCGCTTCCTCGCGGGCGAGACGCCTGGCTGCGTCCGCAGCACCATCAGGTTTCCCTGGGCTTCTGTAAACCCCCACTGTAGCTCTTCGACCCAGAAGGACGAGCGTCGACTGTTGCGTCGCGCCGTTACCACGTTTTACGTGCTCCAGTGCAAGGGCTTAGCTAAAGCCTCTGGTGCTGTATGCATTGCCAGTTCGGGGAATTGGGAACACTGGTGGGCAAACCAGTGCCAGTTTCCACTTCTTCTCAGTGCGGTCTCTCGGGAGCAAAGCCCACTCGGTGATGAACTTGCCAGAGTTCCCGCCAGAACCAGACAAAAAAAGCTGGTCATTGTTAGACGACCGGCTCTCTAGAACAAACAGCGGATAACAATGAATTTGGAAATCTGGCTGTTGAAGGCTTAGAGGGAGACAGAACCATGTGACACAAAGTTTGGAGAGCAGGCCTAGAGATTTGGTTTTACTTTATTCCTTTTCCAAGGATTAAATTTAAACAAAAAGGGAGAGTTCACAGGACTTTCGGTACTGAAGCAACACACGCACAACAAACAATATGGAAAGCAACATTCACTAGGCTGCTTTGCACAGATCCCTACCAGGGACTCATGGGCCACACAGGAAGTTGCTTACAGAGGAACAGGAAGTGTGCTGTAAATTAGGAGAGTGCCCCTTCTCCCAGGACGAAACCCCCCAACCCCCCCCCCCCCACCACCACCACCTCTACCCGCTTCCAGCATTGCTCCATTTCACACAAGCTGTTGCACATCTGATCTCAGCGCAGTTCCCAGCTGAACAACGATCCATAAAATTTAAAAATAAATGACCACATCCATTATTTACACGCATCCATCCATGGCAAATGCAGCTCTGGGTACTCAGACCTGCACGGAGCCAGTTTGAAGGGATAACTTGTTTTTAATCAGAAAGGTGGAGAATTTCTGCTCAGAACAGCGATTATTTTTCATGAGACGTTCAGCCTAACATGAGAATGTCGTCTCTGTGCTGATTGAGCTCCACTCTCACATCAGGGCACTATTCCTTTCTGCGGGGCCCGGCCATGATTAGGAGCAACACTTTGGGTGCCCCGTGGTCATAAATCCCGTGAGCCTTTCCCATACTGTCACCCCCTGTATCGGTTCCTCTGCCAACCCCCAGTTGAGATAACGCCACACGCATTTTCACGCCGAGACGCAGACTCCTCTGCAACATGAAGCTGCCTGTGATAAACCTGTGATGAAGTGCAGCACCCGTGTGTCCTGTTTGCAGGGGGGTTACGCAGCCTACAGATACGCCCAGCCCACCACCGCTGCCACCTACAGTGACAGGTAAGAACTCTGCCAGGGTAACAGCACCTCTACTGGTCAGGAGCAGAATTGCATGCTGTGGGAAAACAGGAACGTTACAGGTACCTTAATTTCATCCATCTGTCTTCCTTATCCGGTACCGGGTCTTGTCGGGTCGGGGCGGGGCAGGGGGGGAGGGCATTACTGGGGCATAGGCAGTATGCCAGTACATCGCAGGGCATTGCTGAAATTACTGTCCCAACATCCCATTTGCATGCTTCACCTCGAAGGCAAAAGTCTGAACTTGGGCTCCTGTGACCCCCCCAGGAGCAAAAATGAAACACGTGACCCAGTTTGGCAGCAAACACATTCCGATCGTTTCCAGGCTAAAATAAAATTGCTCTCAGCTGCTTCTTCAATGAATGGCTGTAGGTGTGTCAGCGTGTGGAGCTGAAACCTTCCTCACGCAGTGCCCTCCCT